GGTGGCAATATTGACACGACCATGTAGTGGGTTTCTGGTTGTTGCGTGGCTAGTGTCATCATTACTAGTGCGTGTCGAAAAATTTGGTCGGCAGAAAGACGACGGCGAACTCGCGCTGCTCGATCGAAGCTGTTCCGCTGTTTGCTACACTGTTACTAGCACTGTTTTTATTACCGTGACAAACTGGTTGAGGTGCTGGGTACAATTGCTATTCGCTAGTTTTGACTCAAGCCGCTTCAAGCTTCTGCCACCATTTCAACAATTCCGGAGGAAAATCTGGCATTTCGCCTCAGCCGCCGCTTGCTGGAACTACCTCCTGAATTAGTTGCCTTCAGCTCGGCAAGAATGGCCACCACAACGGCGAGTAAGACGCGAGAGAGCAACGTAGACCAACTCGCATCCACCCCAAGCGTCGTCTTCACAGCACGCACCCCTAAGCCGTTTCATAATGATGTATTCGAAGACGTAGATGACTGGCTAGACCGCTTCGATCGGCTCGCAGCCGCCAACGAATGAAACGACACCAAGAAGCTTCGCTACGTCTATTTCGCACTTGAAGACTATGCTCGCATCTGGTATGAGAACCATGAGCCGTCTATCACGAACTGGCAAGAACTTCAGCGACAGCAATGCCAGGCATTCAGAAATCCCGAAAGAAAAGAAAAGGCTGAGCAGGCTCTGCAGAGCCGGGCTCAGAAGCCAAATGAAAACGTGGCTATGTTTGTCGAAGACATGCCACGCTTGTTTAAGCGAGCTGACCCAGGGATGGATGAAAAAAAATTCGACTCCTCCTGCGGGTTGTCAAGGAGCAACTTTTTGCTGGACTCATACGCAAGCCCCAACCTCTGTCGATGGGCTCATCGCGGAAGCTACTACCATGAAACGGGCACTTCAGCAACGCTCTCTACAGTACGACCGCCAAGCTTCTGTTGCCACGGTGTCACCTTTCACCTGTGAACAGGACTTATCAGCACTCCGCGAACTTGTGGGGAGCGTGTACCGCGAGGAGCTCGAAAAAGTCCGTCCCACTACTGCACACCCAAGTGCGACGATTCTGGGAGATATTATTCACGATTAACTCAGGAATGTGACCCAACCATTGCTCCCAATGCGAGCGTAAGCTCCTGCTCTGTCTTATGCCGAAGCATTGAGGAGTACTCACCCTTCTACCGGACGCCGGCCACCCTCTACTTTCTCACCATCACCCTGTCAATTCGCACCTGCAAATAACTACGAGAACACTTTCCAGTATGACGTTCCGCGTGAAGTCACCCGTAAATCTGACGTATGGCGCACCTCTGACAACAGGCCTCTTTGCTACCGCTGCGGCGAAGCGAACCATCTGTACCATCAGTGTGCGTATCGCAGGATGGGCCTTCAGGGGTTTCACCGAAACGCGCGTTGACCCAGCAACGGGCAGCGTTCTCGCGAGATTCAGCAATACCTAGCAGCGCAGCAGCCGTTTCCTCTTGCACAAAGCCACTGGCCACGCTCACCTTTTCCTCGGCGCCTCGTCTCGCCTAGTCGTTACGCCACGTTCTCTGGTGTATGAAACAGGTCCCCAAGTCCTGGTCCACGCCAGGAAAACTGAGGCCAGCGGCCTCTGGGGGTAGGGCTGCTGTTGACCAAACTGACAAATATCCTCCGCTACGACACGTTGACGACGCCGATATTTCTGTCACGAAATTTATTGAACGTGACGCAGCAATTTCCGCCGATATTTCTATAACCGTCGACAATCACTCAATTACCACACTCGTGGATACTAGCACCGATTACTCCGTTGTGAGGGGTGACTTCGCGGCTGCTCTCCAAAAAGTGGTGACGCCATGGAACGGCCCGCACCTCCATACCGCGGGTAGTCATCTAGTGACGCCGGTTGGGAGGGGCACTGCCCGAGTATATATTGGCGCTGCGACCTTCATCGGGACTTACGTCGTACTGCGAGAATGCTCCAGGCAGGTCATGTTGGGATTAGACTTCCTTCGAGAATATGAGGCTATTATGAATCTCCGAGAATCGCTGGAGACGTTTTTACGTAACGAACATTCTCAGGATTGTGAATCGCGTACGATGGCGTTGCGTGTATCCGACGATTCAGTGACACTACCACCCCATTTCAGTGTTCTGGTTAACATGCTGATCAAGTGACATCAACCGGACGGCTCTCGGAGTTCCGGAAGGCAATGTGTCCGTGCTCTTGTCTCATCAAGCATGCGTCACCCGTAGTCTCATAGAATTGACACAAGAGCCTCCGAAAATTCTACTAACAAATTTCAGTCATGAGTACCAGCACTTCATGAGGCAGTGTGTCATCACTACGAAGAAATTGGAGACTCGAAAGCCAGCTTTTCACTCGCGCAACTATCTTTCGGTACTCGCGACGACGAACAGTCTCTGGTTAAGCATACCGACGCTGACTGCCTATCACGTGCCCCAGTCGAGTCGATTCCTCCTGACCAAGCTGACGACGAAAGTTTCCTCATGGCCGTCACAGCCTCCGACTTGGCTCAAAAACAGCGAGATGACACAGAACTTCCCCGATCATCGACTATCTTGAGGACAAACTTGAAAAGCCACCACCAACATTCAAGCACACGATTTCATCATTTTTTTTCCTTCGTGACAACATCCTGTACAAGCGGAGCTTTGATCTCAACGCTCGAACCACCCTACTGGCCGTACCATCTGTGATGCGAGAAGACATCCTTAAGGCGTGCCATGACGAACCATCTTCCGGGTATTTAGGGTTCACGCGTACTCTGGCACGTATTCACCACACGTACTATTGGCCCAAACTGTCCCGTACCGTCAAGCACTACGTCAAAACCTACCGAGACTGTCAGCGTCGCATAACTCCACCCATGAAACCTACTCGTCTTTTACACCCTGTGGAGTCACCCCGATAAACATTTCAACAAGTTGGCATGAACTTTATAGGTCCATTTCTGAAATTTTCAGCGAGGAATCGCTGGATAATAATTGCGACTGACCCGTTAAGTCGTTACTGAGAAACACGAGCACTCCAGCGTGGTACGGCAAGCGATGTCGCGGATTTCTTCACTCATGCTGTCGTCCTCCGCCATGGTGCACCGGCCGTGGTTCTGACAGAGGCACGGCCTTCACTGCCCAACTACTGGAAGAAGTGATGACACTCAGCGGCACCGTACATCGCCGAAAGACAGCTTACCATCCACAAGCTAACGGATTAGCAGAACGGCTCAATAAGACCATCACAGACATGATTTCCGTGTATGTCGACGTAGACCATAGGAACTGGGACAGTCTCCTCCCTTTCGTAACTTTCGCATATAACACCGCCGTGCAAGGAACTACAGGATTTACACCTTTTCACCTGCTTCACGGGCGCGAAGTTACTACGATGTTAGACGCCATGCTCCTACCTAACGCATTTACGACCCCCACCAAAAATGCTGTCCAGTATGCGCAGCGCGCCAAAGAAGCTCGACAACTAGCACGCTTGCGCATTCGCTCTCAGCAACAACACAATGCTCAGAGGTACAACCTTCGGCACAGAGAAGTCACCTACCATCCCGGAGAAAAAGTATGGCTCTGGAGTCTCGTACGCCAACGCGGCTGCTCTGAGATTCTCTTGCGTCGTTATTTCGGCCCTAACCAGGTTCTTCAGCGCCTCGGCGATGTAAACTACGAAGTTATCGCAGAGCCTAGCATGCAGTCCTCCCGCCGTGGTGCCCAGCCGGACATCGTCCACGTGGCTAGGATGAAGCCGTATTATTCACGCTGAAGACTTTCTCTTGCCTTCATACATTTGAAAGCATCGAGTCGATGCTTTTCGAGAGGGGGAGTATTGACACGAGCATGTAGTGGGTTTATGGGTGTTGCGTGGCTAGTGTTATCATTACTTGTGCGTGTCGAAGGATTTGGTCGGCAGAAAGACGACGACTAACTCGCGCTGCTCGATCGAAGCTGTTCCGCTGTTTTCTACACTGTTACTTGCACTGATTTTATTACGGGGACAATATGTACTCTCGGAATAAAGGCATCATGTCGTGTGGACGTTAGTCGTTCACGTCACCTAAGTGCCCTACACTGAAGTTGATCTGGGTAGCAATAACAAGGGCTATCATCCTCCGGCTGCATGCATTTCCGATGGAGGCGGAAATGTTGTAGGCCCGTGTACTCAGATT